ACGGAGTGAGAGTGACGGGGTGAGGAGTGACGGGGGTGAGGAGTGACGGGGTGAGAGTGGCGGGGTGAGAGTGACGGAGTGAGAGTGGCGGGGTGAGAGTGACTGAGTGACGGAGTGAGAGTGACGGAGTGAGAGTGACGGGGTGAGGAGTGACTGGGTGAGGAGTGACGGGGTGAGAGTGACGGGGTGAGAGTGACGGAGTGAGAGTGACGGGGTGAGAGTGACGGGGTGAGTGTGACGGGGTGAGGAGTGACGGGGTGAGAGTGACGGAGTGAGAGTGACGGGGTGAGGAGTGACGGGGTGAGGAGTGACGGGGTGAGAGTGACGGGGTGAGAGTGACGGAGTGAGAGTGACGGGGTGAGAGTGACCGGGTGAGTGTGACGGGGTGAGAGTGACGGGGTGAGAGTGACGGGTGAGAGTGACGGGGTGAGAGTGACGGGGTGAGAGTGACGGGGTGAGAGTGACGGAGTGAGAGTGACGGGGTGAGAGTGACGGAGTGAGGAGTGACGGGGTGAGAGTGACGGGGTGAGGAGGGACGGGGGAAAAGTGACGGGGTGAGAGTGACGGAGTGAGGAGTGACGGGTGAGAGTGACGGGGTGAGGAGTGACGGGGTGAGAGTGACGGGGTGAGAGTGACGGAGTGAGAGTGACGGGGTGAGGAGTGACGGGGTGAGAGTGACGGGGTGAGGAGTGACGGGGTGAGAGTGACGGGGTGAGAGTGACGGAGTGAGAGTGACGGGGTGAGAGTGACGGGGTGAGAGTGACGGGGTGAGAGTGACGGAGTGAGAGTGACGGGGTGAGAGTGACGGGGTGAGAGTGACGGGGTGAGAGTGACGGGGTGAGAGTGACGGGGTGAGAGTGACGGGGTGAGAGTGACGGGTGAGAGTGACGGAGTGAGAGTGACGGGGTGAGAGTGACGGAGTGACGGGGTGAGAGTGACGGGGTGAGAGTGACGGGGTGACGGGGTGAGAGTGACGGGGTGAGAGTGACGGGGTGAGAGTGACGGGGTGAGAGTGACGGGGTGAGAGTGACGGAGTGAGAGTGACGGGGTGAGAGTGACGGAGTGACGGGGTGAGAGTGACGGGGTGAGAGTGACGGAGTGACGGGGTGAGAGTGACGGGGTGAGAGTGACGGGGTGAGAGTGACGGGGTGAGAGTGACGGGTGAGAGTGAGGGGGTGACGGGGTGAGAGTGACGGAGTGAGAGTGACGGGGTGAGAGTGACGGAGTGAGAGTGACGGAGTGACGGGGTGAGAGTGACGGGGTGAGAGGGACGGGGTGACGGGGTGAGAGTGACGGAGTGAGAGTGACGGGGTGAGAGTGACGGGTGAGAGTGACGGGGTGACGGGGTGAGAGTGACGGAGTGAGAGTGACGGAGTGAGAGTGACGGAGTGAGAGTGACGGGGTGAGAGTGACGGGGTGAGAGTGACGGGGTGAGAGTGACGGGGTGAGAGTGACGGAGTGAGAGTGACGGGGTGACGGGGTGAGAGTGACGGAGTGAAAGTGACGGAGTGAGAGTGACGGGGTGACGGGGTGAGAGTGACGGAGTGAGAGTGACGGGGTGAGAGTGACGGGTGAGAGTGACGGGGTGAGAGTGACGGGTGAGAGTGACGGAGTGAGAGTGACGGGGTGAGAGTGACGGGGTGAGAGTGACGGGGTGAGAGTGACGGGGTGAGAGTGACGGGTGAGAGTGACAGAGTGAGAGTGACAGAGTGAGAGTGACGGGTGAGAGTGACGGGGTGAGAGTGACGGGGTGAGAGTGACGGGGTGAGAGTGACGGGGTGAGAGTGACGGGGTGAGAGTGACGGGGTGAGAGTGACGGGGTGAGAGTGACGGGGTGAGAGTGACGGGGTGACGGGGAGAGTGACGGAGTGACGGAGTGAGAGTGACGGGGTGAGAGTGGACGGGGTGAGAGTGACGGAGTGACGGAGTGACGGAGTGACGGGGTGAGAGTGACGGAGTGACGGGGTGAGAGTGACGGAGTGACGGAGTGAGAGTGACGGAGTGAGAGTGACGGAGTGACGGAGTGAGAGTGACGGGGTGAGAGTGACGGGGTGAGAGTGACGGGGTGAGAGTGACGGGGTGAGAGTGACGGAGTGAGAGTGACGGAGTGAGAGTGACGGGGTGAGAGTGACAGAGTGACGGGGTGAGAGTGACGGGGTGAGAGTGACGGAGTGACGGGGTGAGAGTGACGGAGTGAGAGTGACGGAGTGAGAGTGACGGGGTGAGAGTGACGGAGTGACGGAGTGAGAGTGACGGGGTGAGAGTGACGGAGTGACGGGGTGAGAGTGACGGGGTGAGAGTGACGGAGTGAGAGTGACGGGGTGAGAGTGACGGAGTGAGAGTGACGGGGTGAGAGTGATGGGGTGAGAGTGATGGGGTGAGAGTGACGGGGTGAGGAGTGACGGGGTGAGAGTGACGGAGTGACGGGGTGAGAGTGACGGAGTGAGAGTGACGGGGTGAGGAGTGACGGGGTGAGAGTGACGGGGTGAGAGTGACGGGGTGAGGAGTGACGGGGTGAGAGTGACGGAGTGAGAGTGACGGGGTGAGGAGTGACGGGGTGGGAGTGACGGGGTGAGAGTGACGGGGTGAGGAGTGACGGGGTGAGAGTGACGGGGTGAGAGTGACGGGGTGAGAGTGACGGGGTGAGAGTGACGGGGTGAGAGTGACGGGGTGAGAGTGACGGGGTGAGAGTGACGGGGTGAGAGTGACGGGTGAGAGTGACGGGGGTGAGAGTGACGGGGTGAGGGTGACGGGGTGAGAGTGACGGGGTGAGAGTGACGGGGTGAGAGTGACGGGTGAGAGTGACGGAGTGAGAGTGACGGAGTGAGAGTGACGGGGTGAGAGTGACGGGTGAGAGTGACGGGGTGAGAGTGACGGAGTGAGAGTGACGGGGTGAGAGAGTGACGGGGTGAGAGTGACGGGGGGAGAGTGACGGTGTTAGAGTGACGGGGTGAGAGTGACGGGGTGAGATTGACGGAGTGAGAGTGACGGGTGAGAGTGAAGGGTGAGAGGTGACGGGTGAGAGTGACGTGAGAGTGAGAGTGACGGAGGTGAGAGTGACGGGGTGAGAGTGACGGGGGTGAGAGTGACGGAGTGAGAGTTACGGGTGAGAGTGACGGTGGTGAGAGTGACCGGGGTTGAGAGTGACGGGGTGAGAGTGACGGAGTGAGAGTGACGGAGTGAGAGTGACGGGTGAGAGTGACGAGGGTGAGAGTGACGGGGTGAGAAGTGACGGGGTGAGAGTGACGGGGTGAGAGTGACGGAGTGAGAGTGACTTGGGGTGAGAGTGGACGGGGGTGAGAGTGACGGGGTGAGAGTGACGGAGGTGAGAGTGACGGGTGAGAGTGACGAGAGTGTGAGAGTGACGGGGTGAGAGTGACGGAGGGTGAGCAGTGAGTGAGAGTGACCGGAGTGAGAGTGACGGGTTGAGAGTGACGGGTGAGGAGTGACGGGGGTGAGAGTGACGGGGTGAGAGTGACGGGGGTGAGAGTGACGGGTGAGTGATACGGAGTGACGGGGTGAGAGTGACGGAGTGAGAGTGACGGGGTTGAGAGTGACGGGGTGGAGTGAGGGGTGAGAGTGACGGGGTGAGAGTGACGGAGAGTGAGAGTGAGGCGGGTGAGAGTGACGGAGTGAGAGTGACGGAGTGAGAGTGACGGGGTGAGAGTGACGGGGTGAGAGTGACGGGGTGAGAGTGACGGAGGTGAGAGTGACGGGGTGAGAGTGACGGGGTGAGAGTGACGGGTGAGAGTGACAGAGTGAGAGTGACGGGTGGAGTGACGGAGTGACGGGGTGAGAGTGACGGGGTGAGAGTGACGGGGTGAGAGTGACAGAGTGAGAGTGACGGAGTGAGAGTGACGGGGTGAGAGTGACGGGGTGAGGAGTGACGGGGTGAGAGTGACGGGGTGAGAGTGACGGGGTGAGAGTGACGGGGTGAGAGTGACGGGGTGAGGAGTGAGGGGTGACGGGGTGAGAGTGACGGGGTGAGAGTGACGGGGTGAGAGTGACGGAGTGAGGAGTGACGGGGTGAGAGTGACGGGGTGAGAGTGACGGGGTGAGAGTGACGGGGTGAGAGTGACGCGGGGCACGCACAGGCGGCGGACTGCAGCAGGGAATCGCCAGGGATTGTGCATCAGCAGCGGTCGGCGGAGAATCGTTGATGCAAGGAGCCACTGATGCAGGAAGGGACGGAGGAGAGAGGGAGGTGGGGAGGAGGGAGGGGGAGGGAGGGGCAGGGTGGGGGAGGTGGGGGGGATGGAGGGGCAGGGTGGGGGAGGGGGGGCAGGGTGGGGGAGGTGGGGGGGATGGGCAAGGGGGGAGGGAGGGGTCACCCAGACTCGCGACGTGCGTGGAATAAACACCGCGACCCGCAACCCGAGCAGCAGAGACGTGAATCACCACCATCAACACCATCATCATCACCACCATCACCACCATCACCACGGCCACCATCATCATCACCACCATCATCATCACCACCATCATCATCATCATCACCATCACCACCATCATCATCATCACCACCATCATCACCATCGCCACCATCACCACCATCATCACCAACACCACCACCGTTACCACCACCCTCGCCACCACCACCACCACCATCAGCACCGCGGCACGGAGCGTGGTGCGACGGGAGTGAGCTGGGTGACAAGGAGTTGGCCAGACATCCCAGCGCTGTGGACACTCTCCTGGAACGGAGTCCCGAGACCCAGGGGGCCAATTAAACCATCACCGTCTTCACCAAAGACAAAGATCCCCCGTATAGCCCGAACAGACTGTGGGGGGCAATTGCTGTTAGCGCGCATCGATGAAGACGGCACACGAGGGGGTGGGGTGGCCAAAACCACGCCAGACCGCCTTTGTCTCCCCAGTGGCGATGTTTACACAACGCACCAGGTACTCATTTTAGGCCGAGTCGACCTAGAGGAGGCCCAGGACTGGTTCAGATAATCGTCACCGGTGTTGGCCGTGAACGGGAATCGTGCTGGGCTCACCGGGTTCATAGCGTGGCGAGGCGCTAACCACTACACCACCACTCCCCCTGTCTTCACCACCACCACCATCATGATCATCACTAACCAGCCAACCGTCATCACCACCACCACTATCATGATTATCACTAACCAGCCAACCGTCATCACCACCACCACTATCATGATTATCACTAACCAGCCAACCGTCATCACCACCACCGCTATCATGATCATCACTAACCAGCCAACCGTCATCACCACCACCACCATCATGATCATCACTAACCAACCAACCGTCATCACCACCACCACTGTCATGATCATCACTAACCAGCCAACCGTCATCACCACCACCACCACTATCGTGATCATCACTAACCAGCCAACCGTCATCACCACCACCACCACCATCATGATCATCACTAACCAGCCAACCGTCATCACCACCACCACTCTCATGATCATCACTAACCAGCCAACCGTCATCACCACCACCACTATCATGATCATCACTAACCAGCCAACCGTCATCACCACCACCACTATCATGATCATCACTAACCAGCCAACCGTCATCACCACGACCACTATCATGATCATCACTAACCAGCCAACCGTCATCACCACCACCACTGTCATGATCATCACCAACCAGCCAACCGTCATCACCACCACCACTATCATGATCATCACTAACCAGCCAACCGTCATCCCCATCACTAACCATCACCATCGCCAAGCATCTTTATCACCAATCAACCATCACCACTACCATCGTCTCCACTGGAAATGCTCATTTTCTGAACGCATTCCCTCTCATCTCACTCTCCTCCCCTCTGCGCGCTCTCCTACCTCTCAACTCACCCGAAGCCCCTCCAGTCAGCCTTTCAAGACACAACGGACAATAAACCTTCGCTCAGTGCGGCCTAGAGCTCTCTTCCCCCAGCCATCCGTGCTGGCGACTCTGTTAGCCATGTTCAAGTCCAGACCCTCCTCTCCTCCTCTGTCTATGACTGCCTCTCTCTCTCTCTCTACCTGTGAATAAACAAACCACCTTCATCCCGGCATATCCGTGTCCCACTGTTCCTGTAAAGTGTCTGTAGATGCGTTCGTGCTTGGATGCTACTTAAATAAAAACGGCGTTGTAATTCAAGGAACGAAAAAAAAAGGCCGTTCAAAACGAACCCAGCGGTGCGGATGCCGAGTGTGCAGGCGGTGCAACTGCGCCGGAGCCCACGGCCTGGTGGTGAGACCCCAGGCACCACATCGAACACACGTGGCCGCCGGGTTTGGTGTGAATGACCGACGCCCGTGCGACTATTAAACTATGACACTATTAAAAAAGAAAGAAAAATGTTGATTCATTTCCAGGAAAGGCCCCACTGAGCTGCAATATCGCCTATTTTGTTTCAGAATCGATCTGGGTATCACAAATGACAGCTCAACGACGTGGCTTATGACCGTATGGAAATGCACAGCAGCCAAATACTCTAAACGCGTGTCGATTCGGAATGTGGAAGGAAAACCCGAAGGACCCGAAGAGAGAACATGCAAACTCCAAATATGCAGAAGGCATCAGGGTCGTGATCGAACCCACGACCTCCTGTGTACCAAGCGAGGGAGTTAACATCTCGCCAGACGATAGCTCCCTCAGGGTTCACCGTCAATCGCCGAGACTCGTCGTTCGCACCGAAGTTCACAGAGTCACAGCGAGGACACCGGAAACTTGCAGAGACCAAGAGACTAACACATAAACCCGTGGGATCATAACAGAGACCAACATACTCAAGTAACGACCCATAGAATCGCACAGAGAGCCACATAATCACGCCGAGAGCCATATTATCACACAGAGGCACCCATAGAAACTATTATTAAATCCTTTATATTAAGTTCACTTGCGCGCTCGCTTGCTTGCTTGCTTACGACCGTGCAAATGTTTCGGTCGTTTTTTAACCCACTTCCCGTGATCCAATCGAGCTGACATTTTGCACACAGACTCGTTGTGTGTGACAATTTATTTTCGTGAAATTTTTTTTCCATAACTTTACACTTTTTAGGAAAAAAATAATTATATTTAATTACCAATTGCTTAATGGTGGCAGGCAATCATCTGACCCATAGGTGGCAGCCATCTCAAGCCAGAGGACGAGAGGACTCTAGCCGCCACGCATATAAAGGATTTATAGTGAAAAACTTTGTTTTTACGGGTTAATTTTTTACCGGTTGAGGCCCACTGAGCTGCCATACAGAGCTCTTCTTGAGAACCAACGTGGCTATAACAAACGATAGCTCAACGAAGTGGGGCATCATCATCATCGCGTGGGAATTCATAGCAGCGGACAAATACTCCAAATGTGCGTAGTGACGTTGATTCTAAATGTGGAGGGGGGAAAAAAAACTGGAAGATGCGGGTGGAGTCGGGGTGGGTGGGTGGGTGGAGACGGGGTGGGTGGGTGGTGTCGGGGTGGGTGGGTGGAGTCAGGGTGGGTGGGTGGGTGGAGTCAGGGTGGGTGGGAGGATGGAGTCGTAGTGGGTGGGTGGGTGGAGTCGGGGTGGGTGGGTGGAGTCGGGGTGGGTGGGTGGTGTCGGGGTGGGTGGGTGGAGTCGGGGTGGGTGGGTGAGTGAGTCGGGGTGGGTGGGTGGGTGGAGTCAGGGTGGGTGGGTGGGTGGAGTCAGGGTGGGTGGGTGGGTGGAGTCAGGGTGGGTGGGTGGGAGGATGGAGTCGTAGTGGGTGGGTGGGTGGAGTCGGGGTGGGTGGGTGGAGTCGGGGTGGGTGGAGTCGGGGTGGGTGGGTGGTGTCGGGGTGGGTGGGTGGAGTCAGGGTGGGTGGGTGGATGGAGTCAGGGTGGGTGGGTGGGAGGATGGAGTCGTAGTGGGTGGGTGGGTGGAGTCGGGGTGGGTGGGTGGAGTCGGGGTGGGTGGGTGGTTACAACACGTGGACAGTTGTGGTTCGACTGCCGCGCCGGGAGATTCGCCATGGGCTGGTGTCCCGGCCACTCACTCTCGTCTGTGTTGGGTGCCGACAGGATGGCGCTGTGCTTCTTCTTCACCTCCTGAACATTCTCGGCCACCTTCTCGATGTCCCCCCGGATCTCTTCCACCTGTGAACGTTATCATCGTCATCGTTATCATCACCGATATGATCACCATCAATATTGTCATCATTATCAGCAATATCTGCATGAACTTCATGATCATCTTCTTGGTTCTTTCGGTAAAGTCACGTAGAAGGGAAGTAATAAAATAATAAAAATAAAACATAATAAAACAATTCTCACGACGTTTCGGCCACAACGCAAGCAGCCGTCTTCAGGTGAAAACCAGGTCCGTCGAGGCGACAGAGTCTGAATGAAACAGCACACGAGCTTGGAGCATATATATAAGCTGGGCGCATTGACAAAGGAATTTGCATATCAAAAGGAATTTAGCATAATTATGGGAAATGCAGGAATGTGATTAGTACTGCATATGCATGTGCGTTATGCAGGATTAACAGCATCAAAGGGAGCTGCAGTTACTGCTGCTGCTGCAGTTGCTGCTGCTGCAGTTTCTGCTGCTGCTGCAGTTGCTGCTGCTGCAGTTGCTGCTGCTGCTGTTACTGCTGCTGCACTTGCTGCTGCTGCTGCAGTTGCTGCCTTATCCATTTTAATATAACACTATGTATTATTCTACCCACCCTAATGTGTATCACACTGCTATATGTTTACTATACAATTACGACACCATACATTACTCTGCACACTGCACCATGCCAGTGAGTGGAACGCGGTCTGAAAGTCACCGTAAACGTGAACACAATCAGTTAAGATCCGAAATGGTTTATTACCATTTCGGATCTTAACTGATTGTGTTCACGTTTATGCAGGATTAACAGCATCAAATGGTTTATTACCATTTCGGATCTTAACTGATTGTGTTCACGTTTACGGTGACTTTCAGACCGCGTTCCACTCACTGGCATGGTGCAGTGTGCAGAGTAATGTATGGTGTCGTAATTGTATAGTAAACATATAGCAGTGTGATACACATTAGGGTGGGTAGAATAATACATAGTGTTATATTAAAATGGATAAGGCAGCAACTGCAGCAGCAGCAGCAAGTGCAGCAGCAGTAACAGCAGCAGCAGCAACTGCAGCAGCAGCAACTGCAGCAGCAGCAGAAACTGCAGCAGCAGCAACTGCAGCAGCAGCAGTAACTGCAGCTCCCTTTGATGCTGTTAATCCTGCATAACACACATGCATATGCAGTACTAATCACATTCCTGCATTTCCCATAATTATGCTAAATTCCTTTTGATATGCAAATTCCTTTGTCAATGCGCCCAACTTATATATATGCTCCAAGCTCGTGTGCTGTTTCATTCAGACTCTGTCGCCTCGACGGACCTGGTTTTCACCTGAAGACGGCTGCTTGCGTTGTGGCCGAAACGTCGTGAGAATTGTTTTATTATGTTTTATTTTTATTATTTTATTACTTCCCTTCTACGTGACTTTACCGAAAGAACCAAGAAGATGAATCCCTGCAGTCACGAAAGCTTTAAATCGAAATTCATGATCATCATTATTACCATTATCATCATCATCAATGTTGTCGATATCATCATTGTGATCATCATCATCTTGATCATGACGATGATCATGATGATGATATTGTCATCATCGCCATGATCAACACCTTAGATATCATCATCATGATTATCATCTACAATATTTTCATGATCTACATGATCACCATTATTACCATCATCATGAATGCCGTCGTTAGCATCATTGTGATCGACATCAACATCAAAATCATCATCACTGTCATCAACACCATCACCAACAATCATCGCCACCACTACACCTATCACTCCTATCGCCACCATCCTGTCACCTCACTCAATCATTTACCCACTCACCCACCATCTCACTCACCCATTCATTGACTCACCATCTCACTCACTCTCCCACCCGCTCAATACCTCACTCACTCAGATAAATGAGACTCCTATCATGATGTCTTGAGTTCTATCACCTGGTTACACAAAATTAACTGGACACTTAAACTCACTTCTCTGCTCACTCATTCATCGTCTCAGTCAATGATTTACCCACCTACCCACCCACCATTTCACTCATCCATTTATTAACTCACAATCTCACTCACTCATTCCCTCAGTCACTCATTCCCTGACTCACTCACTTACCTTCTCTCTCGATTTCTCACCTGCTTGAAGACCATTACCTTTAAACTTGAACTTCAACATGAACCC